CCTGCTGAGTTGCATTAATTGCTCAGGATAAAAACAACAAAAGCTGAAGCTTCTGTTGTCAGCATTGGTCTTGTAGAACGCATCAAAGCTGTTTGCAAAACTGTGTGGGAAGTGTATTGCAGTGTATTATGGTACCTGGAAAGTTTTTGAATGGTTTCTCTTTTCTCATGTTCCACATACAAAGGATATTACATCAGAGCTGCTGGCAATTTTGCTTATTTTTTTCACATGGAAATAATATTGTTTTATGTTTACTTTTACCTGCTTCAAGTTCCTTAATTTCTTTGTTAGATTTTTTTTTTTCCTTGCTGACATCATGCATAAAAGGAACTTGTAAAAGTGACAAGAACTGAAAAAATCCTTGGTGCTGGTTATGGTGGCAAAAAGGAATCTTCAGTGTATTTGTCACTATTGATTTTCCTGTTGAGGGAAAGGAAAGATGAGCAGTGGAAAGGACACTTGATTTCTCTTCTAGTGCGAGATACCAACAGGAAAACAGTCTTGTTTTGCCTTCAGCTAAATATGTCAAGTGAAGCAGGGAAGATAGCAGCTTTGAAATGTCGCCCACTAATTAAGTACACTGTCATGTTGGTTGTCATAAACGAGAAGTTTTTGGCTGAGTGTATGGCCCTTACCCTATACTCACTGCTGTTCTAGGTGCAGGTCAGGCATAGGAGCTAATAGTGGTGGCTTTTTACTGATAAAACCAAGGAATGTAAGCTTGTATTTTTAAAAAAATACAAAGAGAACGGAGAAAAATGCCAAAGCAAATGCTGTCTGGTAGATGAGTGTGCTGTCTTGTGGAGTAAAAGGTACCGAGGGTCGTTCTGGGGATGAGGCTGGAGTACCATTCAGCTGCATTCTTCAGGTAAACTGAAGTTTAACTTCCTTTTTCCAGTAAGATTTAAATCTTAATTAGATAGGATTTTATGTTTATTACAGAACTAGAAACAGGTTCTGTGAAGTCTGACAGTTTCTTCTAGTTTCCTGTTCAAGCTTCTTTCATTTGACAGGCAGATGGCAGGAGGCAGAAGCAGGTACTGAAGTGGTGTATTCCCTGTAAATGGGCTTACTCCCTTACTCCTTTCGTGGTGCTCGGGTTGCACTAGAACCAGGTCTGTGGGGTTAGAACTGTTTTGCCTGCTGCACTTTCACAAATACCGGCATAGAAAATGGGGTGAGATCACTTGATGAAGTCATACTACTCCAGAAGCAGAGGTGACAAAGAATGTCGGAGCAGCGTTGTATTGTGGTGTCCAGATTCTGTGACTCGGAGAAACCAGTAAGTGCTTTCTTATGCATGCTCTTCGCAGTTCCAGCAATGGTGGCAGGTGAAATGGTATACTTTGTTTCATCAGCTTGTACTTCCATCACAAGTTTCTCTTGACGTTAAGATGAACCAGTTGTACTCAGAATTATTCTAGAGGAGCAACTCTTTTGCTTTCGTGAAGAACAATTGCACTTCACCAATGGCCATAAAATGCTCATGATGAAGCTTTACTTACCGCTAATTTCTTTGTAATTTGTCTCGGTTGCCATCCTATGTTTTGTTGCTGCGTGTCGCTTCACATGAGGCGGAGCTGTGATGCTGCGGAGGTTGGTCACTCCCTTCGTGAGCTGTGGTAGTTCTTGTATTAGGATAAGCTGAGGTTGGGAGGAAGAGCAGCAGGTTTGGTTCCAAAGCATGGAGGGTGACTGGAGGAGCACAGCTAGCTTTTTGGGTCTGTCTCCTGAGCCAAAAAGTCAAATGGTGTGCTAAAGCTGGCCATGTGGGAAGAAGTTAAGTGATTTGATCAATGCAGCTCAACTGTGTTAGAAATTGTCATGGGTAACATTTATCCTTTTTTGTCTTTAGCATTTCTGTGGTACTGGATTTCTTCAAGCTTTCTGGGATTCATATAAAGGACTTTGTGGAATTGAGAAGAAAAATATAATTCACTATGATGTGTTGTGTCTTAGGGAAACTGTGAACAAGAAGTGGCACTTCAAGTTATTATCGTGTCCTTTCTCATCTGCCGTTGTTTCGGTATTTCCGTAGCAGGGGTTTCACTGTAAGATTTTAATACCGTCTTTCAGAGTCGCTTCCAATAACATGCTGATAGTCTCGTGTGTTTTGGGGGAGAGCGCTAAATTACACCAGCACCAAAGGTATGACAGGAGTACTGCTCTGCCATGCGAACTGCTTGGCGTGCTTTTAAGAAATGCACTAACTATTCCTGCAGCTGAGAAACCACTTTGAAAAAGCCTGGATTTGAAACCCGCGGGACCCTCCTGGAACACTGCTAGGAAATAGAGGTGATGGCAGAAGGGGCTTCACCTCTGCCTTTATTGCTTGTCCTTTGCTACTCTGTAGTGCTGCTAGTCAGGAGTTCGGAAAACCAGCTGTAGTTCAGATGTGCTGTTTGGCATCTACTTGGTGTAACGTGCTTCAGACTTGGAGAAGGAAACTGCACACTCAGTTCCTGGTCAAACGTCGTAGTTTTTGTTACACCTCATTCTCCGTGGTACTGAGAGGGAACTGTGTTCATCTAATGATACCGCACACACCCCGTCACATCCCAGTAGGTTTGTTTTTTTTTAAAACATTTTTCAGTACACAAGGATGTCCAGTAAGGTTTGGAGGTGGTGAAACAAGCTGTCTGTTAGTCTTAAATATTAACACTTATCAACTTTACTTTCTCCCATAACTGTGAATATGTAACTTCCATTTGTTGGGGAGCTAACAGGTTTCGCTTTGTCTCACTGATGAAATGCGTGTAGAATATTCTTAGTGAGAAAGCAATCAGGAATAATTTTTTCTTCTTTGAAAGCTATTTGTGGCTTAAGAGCATGAAGAGTACAGCGGGGTTGCTTGCAGATTAGGAGTGTACGAACATCGAATACTGCAGTGTCTTTTATGAGGTCTGCCTTATTGTAATTTTGCATTTAAACTGGCTGTATTAGAGCTTCGGTCCTAACACTTTACTGCTCAGCTCTGTTCTGCTTGGAGTTCAGATTTATCTTATGCTGTTGGAGGCTTAGACCAGGTGTGGTAAATCCTCTCTCGTACTGTGAATGTTTGTGTTGAGTAATTTTGGAAGGGTTGCTTGCGGACGTACTGAGCGTTCACCTCTTCCGTTGAGTTCAGTTGAGGGGGAGAGTACTCAACAGCCCAGGGAACAAAGCCAGGAGTTTCCAGGTGTTTTGTCTGGTCTGATAATCTTGTGATGAAGTTGCTTGTCTTTAAACTTCAGTTTGTATAAATAGGAGTCGGGGTTTTTGGTATGGTAAATATGAGTGGAAGGTACATGAGTAGCTTGTGGCAGCTTAGGTTCTGTGATGTTTTGCTGCAGTGTTGTGTTCTGGGTTTAGAACTGCTGCATAACTGAGACTCATTTTCATGGTGAATTTTAAAGAAACTAATCAAATTCATTTTTTTTGTTGTTGTTCAGAGTGTGTGGTATGAAAGGTACCACAGGGGAAAATACTGTTTTGTGTCTTTAAGGAAGTTTTTGTTTGTGTGGAAGATGCCACAGCAGGTACAAACACACTGGCTTTTACTTTGTCTTGCCACAAAATGGCAATGGGTGTGACAAACACCTTCTAAATAGATACAGGTCCTTTCTGGGGTAGTATTATTTTTAGAACCCAGGGA